TTTTCAACTTGCTTCAAATTGACCAAATTTTTTTTTCAAAATCATCTACATCTTTTCAGAAGTTCAAATTTGACTTTACAAGTTCTCAGAAATTCAAATCTGACTTAAGTTTGAACTCATAATATTGTGAGCAACTAGGTGGTGACAATTTGTCATGTTAATGCCTTGTATACCCATTATTAAGCTGGGTAAAAGTAGCTCATTCATTAACAATGTTAAGAGTGCCAAAAACTGTTATTTTCTCCAACAGAGTTTCTTAATACCCAATATCTATAAGCTGGGTAAAAGTTGTTAGTTCTTTTTTATTGTGACTACAAAGAAGTTTTAACATTATTACAGCTTCCATTTCTGTGACTGGCACCAGTGCCTCTAACAAATTGTTACACTATGTAATCAAAACTAGGTGGTGGCATTTTGTCATGGTAATGCTTTATTTTAGAATGTTACATAATATTTTGTAATCATGGTCAGTTTTGCCTAGATATTAATTCAGCGATTTTTGGCATTTAAAAACATCTTTTTTGATATTTCACCATCTTGAAATCTCCAAATTGAAACAGGTATTGACTTTGGTATGTTTATAATACTATCTAAGGCTTATCAAGTAGCATTTTTTACATCATTCATCAAATACTGTATAAGCTTTATTTAATTTGCTGAATTGTCAAATTTTATAATTTTCCTAATTTTACTTTTCCTAATGACAAGAATCCCATTGGTTAACATTATGAAGATGATATTTCCAACATTTAATTTTCCGTACCTGATAAAAATGAGGCAAATTAAATGATCGGGCAAAATTACCATCGTCTGTTCCCACGCTCAATCACTACGTTCTATCAAATTACCACCCACACAGTATGCATGAAAACATTTGACTGTCTTACATTGAGAAATACAGTACATGGCGGTCATAATTTGAAAAGCAAATCAGAGTGGAAAAGAGTGAAATCAGCGAAGAATGAAGAAACTAATTTGTATTCAAAACTCTAAATTGTTTCAAAATGCCAGAAAATTGCAGATATTGGATAGAAAGGCATGCCATCTTTATATGTGACTGTAGTTATATGCTTTGTATCACATGGTGATCAACATATTCACTTTATTTGTGCAATTAAATAATACATGTAATAGTATGTATTAATTATTAGTATATTTTGAGTTCAATTGTAAAATATGTGCGCCTATTAGGCCTGTGGCCAACTTTTGCCAAAGGGTTTAAATTCTTTTTAAATCAGGTTTTTTTGACAATTTTGTCCCAAATCCACACAAAAGTGATCAAAATGGTGAGAAACTGCATGATTTATGAAGAATTTTCAGGCAGCCTCCCCCTCGTGTTCCCTAAAACCCACCTCCAAACACTTAACATTTAAACCATTAACAATTTATGCCAGCAAAAAAAAAAAAAAAAACAATTTATGCAACAAGTTTTTTTGAAACCCCCCACTTTATATGATTCTTAACAAAGGTATAGCAAGCTTTAAGAGGCATAAGCAAGGCAACACTTTATGGAAAATATTTTTCATGAATTTTTCAAAAAAACTGAATTTAATATACTGGTACACTACTAGTTTTTTCTTTAGTTTCAAGACATCCTCCAAAGCAAGTGCCTGAGTTAGTTTGACCCAAAATCACTCAAAATGGTGAAAACTATGATTTTGTAAGAACATCTTTAACAAATATTTGATTTGATTTTGAATGATGTATTTGACTACATATTGTGTAAATAACCCCATGAACAATGAACATGTGAAAGATATTACCTGTTTCATAAGCAGATTATTTGTTATAATCGTGAAAATGACACAAACATATTCATCATGCACATACATCTTTAAAGGGTTCCGATAAGCTTCCCGTATATTTGTTAAAATGAAAATCTCCCTTTTATAAATGTGTGACGATCTAAACTGTACCAATGTTATATAAAGGTTATGCCTGGGTCACATAGGCTCCGATCCATCGGCCGGCGCCCGGCCGATTGAGTGTTTTGTTCAATATTGTATTCAATATCGAACAAAATACTCAATCGGCCGGGCGCCGTAGTGAAAATCAGAGCAAATGTGACCAAGGCATAAGAGGTGTTGACACAACGACCTCGAGCCTTTGAACCCTTGAGTATTATTCCGGGATCGAGCCTTTTATACTAAATGGTGAGCAACACCAGAAACGAGCGTTCGATTTGCTAAACGATATGCGTCACCCTTTAAGGTAAGCCATATAAAATGAATTGCCAATCTTAATTATTTTAACTCAGATTTTGTCTTTATGGATATTTTATTAATTATGTCATTTTAATACTTTATATCAAAATTATAAATAAAAACAAAAACATTATATGAAAGAATAAGATGATTTATTGAGCCATTGACATTATAGAGTACATACATTGATTACAAAAGGGTTATGTACTATTCTGGGAAGTTTTGGATACATGTATGTATGTAGGTTTTTGCGGATTATTAATGCGGTGACCATAAAGATGATAATAAGTTATAACTCCCTTATATAATTCTACGGCGACCTCTACAGCCTTTGAAAAGGGAATGCGATTAGCTGCGACCCTTCGACTTACTGGGTGTCCAAAAATTATTGGAATGTCATAAAAACCCTTCGACTTTGATTTATTTTTTCTCATTTGGTTAGGTTGTTTGCATCATGGGCATTCAATCATATTAATACCAACATGGATGCGATGTTTCAACTGTGTACCACATTTTCGCTACAATTCCGTGTTGATTGTTTTAAAGTGCCCGATAAAGTATAAAATGCGCATGCGTCCAGGTGTTGATAAACTATAAATAGCGAAAATCCAGGGTTTGTCACCACAAGGTAAGCCAGGACGTGTTGAGAGAACAGCTAGTGTTGATATTGAATTTATATGTAGCCAGATAAGTTTCCTTATTGAAATTACATATGGTTATTAGCAATACTTTGTAGGTGCTAAATAATAAAATATTTAGAGTATATATGAGAGAAATTGGTCATTTCGAACCTGTTGAAAAGTTTGGGGCTCTCGGCTACACCGGGGAATTTACTTCCATGAGTACACACATAAATGTGGGGTTCCCCAAGAGGTACGCGACAAGGTGCACTGGCATCAAATGTGCGACTAAATGCTACTATCGAGAAGATAAAATAACGAATAGGCCTACGACAATAAGTTATTGCATGTGACAATTCCGAGCCTTCATCTCACTGAAGTATTTTGAAGTGAAAATAGGATTTTTGTTTTGATACATGGATTCAGATGAACGTAACTTTATTCTGACAACTAATCAAAACTGAACAAAATTGATTGACGTAACAGACAATTTATTGTTTTACAATGTTTTGATTGGCTAAACGAATGAAACCAACAAATTATGACATGTGAAATAACAATTTTGAAATGTAAAATTTAAAAGTGACAAACACAACCTCCCTATCCACTCTTTGGGAGCCCTAGTAAATTAGTAATATGTACATGCAGCAGTGGTGGTGGTAGTGTGCAGCTTATTATCACACTACGCTTTGTATTCTAAAGCCTGTTGTTTGTAATAACACTGTTCACTCAACGTATGTTTTGTGTGTGGGCAGTCAACGATAATCATTGTTTTATCCCGATTACAGTATATGACCTCGGCAAGTATAACAAAACCGTACTAAACGAAAAAACGCAAATAAGAGAAAGCTTTCACACACATATAAAAAATGAACTAGTCTAATCCGCCAGTATAAACTCTGTGCTATACGTAGCCGGGTCAGGCGCACACTTTAAAAATCCTTCGACCCTGCGATTGAATATATTCAAGCGTTCTCTTGTTTTATATTGCTACTACATCTAAAAAAAACTTTCGAGACATTCGATTGAACATATTCATGCGTTCTCGTATTTTTGGAAGCTCAAACGAAAATGGACCCCTATTAATATATATTATGAACGAGAAACTTGGGATATCCGTGGGGGTTAACTTTTCCTATTTAAATTGGCGACGACTTGAATAATAATGAACTTTGGCTCCTCGCCAAATTGTATTGCGCGCCAAATTAGCCGGTAGAAGTACAGTAAATAAGTAATGAAATGAATTACTTCTAGGGACATCCTTTGATGTACATTTACTGTAGCCCATCCCTTATATGCCCAAATGTATGTTTGTTGGAACTTTTGAGTGATATGTTTCATGTATGGTTAGCAGGGGTAATCATCCGTCTATGTAAATCTCCACAGTTGGCAAATCCAGTGAGTCTGCAAACCTCGCGTTGCGGGGTAGTGAATGACAAATAAATATGCCTAGCCTACAAGATTTTCGAAGGTAGAAAATTTTCTAGAATAGCTTCAATCGGAGGTCGCAGGGTTATTATTGTATTTTTATTCCCAAAAATTCTGGACACCCAATAGGTCGAAGGGTCGCCGCGCCGGTTGGTCACAGGGTCGTATGGTATTATAATATTCCTGTGAAGAGATACACCGTAGGCTTATAGCGACCTTTACATGACTAGATTTTTGTCATTGTAGGCATTTCTTGATTTCAGGAACTGTGGTCACCGTAGACTCCACGTGGAATAAATGTGACTGAGGCATAAGATAATTATATTTTAGCATTCTCTTGCTTTGCTTTGTATAGCTTCAGGTGATGTAGATGGTCGAAGTCCATGAGTGAATGAGAGAATCATAGGATATGATAGTTATCCCTCTCATATGATTTTTATCGTACATCTGTATTAGATAATTTCCCGGATGATTTAGCCTTTCCTTAGGTAATTAAAACATTTAATGACACTTTTGATTTTTCGAAAACTAAATAATGATTTTAGAAATACATTGCAATAACAATTTTAAAATTATTGCTTTCCTCAATATATATTATCGCTACATTAAAATCGCAATTTACTTATTCAACAAATTGATGTGATGAAATGGTTGATAACACAACTTTGGAACTAGTTAAACTTTGTAACCAGGCCATATTCTTAAAGCCTACAAACATTCTCGGCATTTCAGTCGCAAGATAAATCAATTCCATGCCAGTTCAGACCTCCCAACTCCAATCTTTTTTCCATCAATGCTAAATAAAAATGTCTTCTTATAGAACCATTTTCATTCTTAGCCGTGTATTTTAGATATGATTCATGATTGAAAAGGGGTTTCTCAATCACGTTTGATTTATCGTTGAACGGGTTAAGGCAAAAACGAGCAAGGTAGACACGAAACCATACAAGCTTGAACACAACCTGACTCCATTACTCGTAATACGACCGTTGGCACTAGGTATGTGCGATGTCTCAAATGTAACCGATTGGCCTTCCGTTGTAAGCTTACCCACAACCAGATTCGCGCGAGGCAATTCAGTCCCATCCTTCTCAAATGTGCAAAAACGTCCAGATGAAGGTGAATCAACAGGAGGAAAAGATTCCTGAAGGATTTTCTCATAATGATCAATTTTCCGACCAAATGTTTCATTTTGGAATTGGACAAAGAATTGACAATGCATGAAACCATCAGACCGAGCCTTTACATAAAGAATACCAATAATATTGAAAACTTCTTCAATAACTTTTGTCACGAGCAATTTGATATTTTGAGCATTGTTGTTTCCTATTGGGATTTTACAGTAAACTTTTAATTGTGTCTCATTTAACACGCATTCATTTTTGACAAGTTTAAACCGGTTTGGACATTTCATCATACTTATCTCTGCACCTTTCACCTTGACAACAGAGTCAACGCCGGCGATACCCGCATCTGCCTTGATCTGATATACGGCACCTGAATCATTGATTGCATCAATTAATACGGAGTAAGCAAAGAAGTTGGACATCTTAATGCCATTGTTTGGCATCTGATAACGGTCGCAGTCTCCACTTGCGGCCCAACTGAGACATTGTAGGCAATAAACATTTCTTAAGATCAGACCACCTCCAATTTTGAAAAGTGTGGATCTCGAACTCCATTTCTACAGGCTTCCAAAATACGCTCGTCTTTGCATCTCTTGCTACATTGAGTTGGTGAAATAGAAATACAGGGCCGTCGCATATTTAAACCTTCTACCTTTGGAACTTTGGAAATCGAACACATTCTTCCTGATTTCTCAGCCCTATTTACCAAGTCGATTAAAAAAGCGCTGACTGATACGGGAAATTGTGGGGGATACTTGATTTGACAATGGATTGATATTTCCCAAGGAACAATGGTTTCATTGACCAAATTACACATAGCGCAAAAATAGTTGACATAGACAGTGTTTGTCAATTCGTCAGTCACTGGTACGACACCCTCTACACCACTCTCCCCGTAACATTTCCGAATGACATCCACACCCTTGTAGTCGGGACTACAGGATTGCTTCATGTATATGTATCGACCGGCTCCTATATTTCTGCAAACGAATGATTCCTTGATCTCAGTGTTATGTGTACGGTTGTCGCAAACATCGTTAAAGTCCTTGCAGCAATCCCCATAGATGTGACACGCCGCATCACAAGAGCAGAGCCACAAGGCATTCGTGTAATTGTTCATCTGCCCACATCTTCCACGGCACGTATTCTCCATACACGTGTATGTAGAAATGTCATCGCCACAGCTGTTTAGGTCTTCTTGAGTTTCAGTACTAGTTATAAGGTTTCGCTGTGTCTTGATAGTACCAGTATTAGAATGAAGTGTTGGCTCAAGTTCAGGACCAACTGGACTGATTGTCGTCTCACGTTCAGGATCAACTTGATCAATTGCTGCGTCACGTCCAGAATCAACAGAATCAATTGTTGTCTCATGTTTGGGATCAACTGGATTGATTGTCGCCTCACGTCCAGGATCAACAGAATCAATTTTTGTTTCACGTTCAGGCTCGATTGCTTTGATTGTCATGTCACGTTCAGGATCGACTTGATCAATCGTTGTCTCATGTTCGGGATCAACTGCATTTGTTGTCGTCTTATGATCAGGGTCGACTTGATCAATTGCAACGTCAGGTTCAGGATCAACAGAATCAATTGTTGTTTCACGTTCAGACTTGATTGGATTGGTTGTCGTGTCACGTTCAGGATCGACTTGATCAACTGCAACGTCAGGTTCAGGATCAACAGAATCAATTGTTGTTTCACGTTCAGGATCGACTTGAACAATTGCTACGTCACGTTCAGGATCAACAGAATCAATTGTTGTTTCACGTTCAGGATCGACTTGAACAATTGCTACGTCAGGTTCAGGATCAACAGAATCAATTGTTGTTTCTCGTTCAGACTTGATTGGATTGGTTGTCGTGTCACGTTCAGGATCGACTTGATCAATTGCAACGTCAGGTTCAGGATCAACAGAATCAATTGTTGTTTCACATTCAGGATCGACTTGAACAATTGCTACCTCACGTTCAGGATCAACAGGATCAATTGTTGTCTCACGTTCAGGATCATCTGATTTGACTGTGGTTTTATGTTCAGGATCGACCTGATCAATTGCTACGTCACGTTCAGGATCAACAGGATCAATTGTTGTTTCTCGTTCAGGATCATATGGATTGATTGCTACGTCATGTTCAGGATCAATAGCATCAAATGTTGTGACACCTTCAGGATCGACTTGATCAATTGCCGTTCCACATTCGGGATCAACAGCATCAATTGTTGTTTCACGTTCAGGATCACCTGCATCAATTATTTTGTCATTTTCAGGATCAACTTGAAATATTGTTGCTTCACGTCCAGGATCGAATTGATGAATATATCCGACGTGTTCGGGGTCAACTACTCGTTCAGTTGGTATGGTACGCTCACTTTCCACTGGATCAGCTATTGTGTCACATTCTTGATCGACTTCATCTATTTTTTCCTCACGTTCAGCATTCACAATATCGATTTTGTCATGCACTTCGTCGGTTGATCTCCTGTATATTCTGCTTTCCACTGCTGATCTTTGGGCATACTTCACATGCGTGTAATGAGTGCAGTACAGAAGCATAGCTACCAACACAGTCAATGATACAATACTTTTCTTTTTTCTTTTGTTTCTCATATCGCGAGCGCTGGTATTATTTAAATCTGATTTCTAATACAATTCTCAAAGTCAATAACAACATCACTGGTGATCCATTCGATTACGCTGGTTACCGAAACGGTTCGTTAAGGTAACAAAATGTCGGAACATCGAGGCTACGATTTTTCTTTTTTCCTTATTTCACACCTTGTAGACAGAATTCTCACGACATTTCTAACACACACGTGTATCAGTAACATATGTTTAAGAAAATGTACACATTTGCGAACAAATAGTTCAGAAGACAACAGAATCGTCGATTTAATTCCTCACTTAAGTTACAGAAACGGTATTTCGAAAAACAGTATCTGCACTTTTAACCCAACCTTTTTCTGTAACTTAAGTGAGGAATTAAATCGACGATTCTGTTGTCCTCTGAGCTATTTTTTCGCAAACATGTACATTTTCTAAAACATAATATGATACTGATATTCGTTTTTGAGAAAAAACTTCGTGGGGATTCTGCCTACAACGCGTGAAATAGGGGGAAAAAAGTAAAATCGTACCTTCGACGTTCCGACATTTTGTTACCGAAACGAACCGTTTCGGTAACCAGCGTAACCGAGCGGATCGCCAGTGAACATGTGGAATTGAGCCACTTTTCATTCATTACTAGTATCTAATATCATATATAGACATACACAGTTGCTCATAAATATGGATTATTTCGGTAACAGTTTTTTAAACAATATTTAAACATCAGCATTTACAAGTGGATAAAGATGATAACAGTCACTGGCGGACCCGGGAGGTGGGGGGTCGCCAGCTCCTCAGGATGGGCCCAGAATTATTTTTATAGGGCCTCGATTATTTGGCCTTTTGGGGCATTAATCATCTTTTCGGGCCTTATGATTAATTTCAGAAGTGTTGGAAGGTTATGAAAGTATAGGATAGGGAGTGTTCTACCTATTTCAGTCCAGCCTTTGATATGGGCAAGGCTTATTAGTAATAGTGTATCTATTTTCTAATTGGATCATTAAAAGCTTGCGATGTTTTTACCACGTAACCGCGAAAGCAAAGTCCATGAATCAATACAGTAATGTGGGTTGTGCGGTATTTGTGATACGGGTGAATATGCCATACTCACCTGCGGTATATGGCATATTCCGCAGTTGAGTATGCGATATTCCGTAGTGAATATACGATACATTGATTTAAGTGAATAACCGATACTCATGATCACCTGCGGAATATGTCATACTCACTTGCGGAATATGCCATATACCGCAGGTGAATATGCCATATACCGCAGGTGAAAACGTGATACAGAAAGATTTGATTTGATTGGTTGCGAGAATCGACTCTAAATGTAAAACTACGCTGGATTACCAATATAGTTAGTGTGTCGAGTGCTAATATATGAATCCTGGATTGATTGAGTAAGTTTATTACGCGAGATTGGTGACTGATACTTCTGCTCAGTTAATATATTCGATACTCAGTACTGTTGATTCAGTAATCATTATAATAATTTATAACGTTTTACTTGTTCGTTCAATCGATTCAATTGACAATCGCGTATGTACTTCCGTATCACGTTCTCATTGGTTAGTGTGTATGCCATATACCGCAGGTGAATCTGTCATACACCGCAAGTGAATATGCCATATTCGTTGCGGAATATGACATATTTTTGTATCGTGTTTACCGCGTAACAGTTAAGACACCATCATTTTTCGAAACGAATAGTAGCAATATCTCAAAAGTATGCGTCCTCTGCTTGTGAATTTAGGATCGTTTGAAAGACTCAGATAGAATGCATTATTGGACGAGATTTAACGCTGTTAACAAAGTATTTTTTCTGGCTTGATCGAAAAAAACTTACACCCTGTTCAGACATCATCAAAAGCGAAGGTCACGCAATGACAATGCCACCCGTTCTTGAATATTCGTTTATAGTGGTTAAAATTAAAAAACGGATACCTGCACCTAAGACAAGCCGTATTTCAAACAATATCGCAAAAGTGTATATGGGTTGAGGCGTTATAAAAGGAATTCTAAATAGGTAGGATTCTACCTATTTCAAAGCAATCCAACCTTTGAAATAGGTAAGGGTTATTAGTAATAGATATTGCACACTTTGAGTGGTGTTATTGACGACACATGTGCTAGTCTTGCTTAAAAGACCCTGTACTCCCCCCATTTATCCTTCTCTCTATTTTATATGCCAGGTAAAGAGAGTGAAGGTGACGGGGGTGGGGGTGGATACAGTCTTTGAGCAAGACTACACACATGTGCATTCATTGGTAGATATGGCTCTCATCCTGAAAAATAAAATGTATCTCTTACCATCCCAGAACCATTTCAGAGCTTAAACTTGTCTAGAGGTCACATGGAAGATAGGAATGTTTTCAACAAGTGTGCCCCGTGAGAGGTGGTAGCCATTTGGAGCACATCTTTTATATGAGCAACAAATGACTCATACACATGCCGCAGTGATAACTTGATTGAAGAACACTGAACCAATTTTACTTATGCCAAAAAGTATATTTAAGCTCAATTGGTTAAGAAGATATATGCATTGTTATGTGGGTTGCATCTTTTTGAAACACCCTGTAGAATGATGTGCATTATGTAACATGGTCATTTTCCAATATTTATATTTCTACTATTCATATTGACCAATCCCCATCCATGTCATTTTAACAGGTCCCTTCATTACTTTACACCAGTTTCAAATATTTAATTCTAATGTTTTCAATTCTTTTGTATACTTTCTACTTTAGCTTCTTTTGTTTAAACCAGTTTTACATGTATGCATGCTGAGTTTGTTTTATGTAATGTTTTGTGTTCCTTATATGGTTTACACATTCACTCACATGTAACTGAGTGTTGGGTGTTGGCCCAGCCTCAGTAGTTGCTTAGAGTTAGATGATAATGTAGATTGTACAGAGAACGTTTGAAGTTTATTTGAAATAGACTATTTTATATATTTTAACTTTAGTTATCTGTTACTTTTATTTGCCACCCACGGCCTTCCATCGCCCCGTTACAATTGATGATTTGCGATCACCGAATGGATTCTGTCTTTTAGTGACGTCACAATTAGGTCACCCAGCTTTAGATGCTTGATTTTGAGAGATTATCTTCTACATTTCGTGCTTTATTGATTTATTTTTCACGAAAGCGTTCTATTTGACTAGATCAACATTCATGCTAAGCACATACCAAGTCTAAGGTCTTACTGACATGATTTAGATAGCGGTTTAGCGCCCCCCGATTTTGACAAAAACGGGGGGCGCTTATAGGCATCGATGTTTAGTATGAATTTCACCCAAACTTCGCATATATATAGACATACTCATGATCTAGTCAAATAGGCATACCTGGTAAATATCCGACCCATGGTTTTTATATAAGAAACGACAATATTTTTAGCTCAAAACTGCCACGTGTCCGCCATTTCGTGATTCCATCATGTCTAATATCATTTCTATATGACGTCATACCAATAAGACGAAATACGTGACAACAGTATCCATAAACAAAATTCCTGAATTCTGATCGCAAAAGGTCAATTATAACCTCTCTGTATCGCATAATAGTATACAGTGAAGTAGAAGTCATGTATTCACCAGAAAGTTACATGCATTGTAACTTGCACTTTTGCATTGTGAAACGTCGTCGATTTGGGTCAAAGTAACACAAATATATAAATGCAACGATGCAATGCCCTTTTATTACGTCAAAAATCTAAAAACCAGAAGGATCATCCATGTTGTCACTTTGACGGCGCGTCAAAATAACTAGATAGGGAGCAGTGGTAGAAGAAGCAGAATCAATCTATGGAAAGCACAGGGTAAAGCAGACCCGATGATGCAATGAGCTTGCTCAAGGCGGTATCATGACTTTGTAACGGGACTTGATGTATAAGTGAGCTCGGCGGTAGGTTCAAACAACGCGGATCCTCAAAGCAAGTGCTCATGGTTGCGCATGGTATCATCGTGGCTTAACACCCGTGGAAAGGGTAGAAATGGTATATTATATATATGACCAACGGTGTATGATCGTGATTCGTAATTAATTACTTTCATACCAAAGGGAGTCGTTTACTGTTTACACGAATATAGGATCAGCGATTCTGAACATCTTAATTGTCCCCTGTGTCACAATTTTCAGTGTCACTGGTCCACGTGTAACTGCTCCTCGTGTCATTGATCACTATATAACCAGTACTTGAAGTCTGGTACATATTCAGAACAACACACATCGAGTCATTTACGGAATATCCACTTTACATTTCTATACAAAATGTGTCTTAATTGGTACGCAACAATGGGGATATCCACCAGTATCACAACAGAGGGGATTACGATTAGAATAACCAACGCTGTGCTACCAGCAGCCTTTGCACTAGGTCTTCTATCAGACACAGTGTATCCAATCAGCGCTTCGTCTTTCGTAACGTCTGTGTGTTTATCAATTGTTGTATTTAATGGAGTAAACATTTCCTTCTTGAATGGTATTTCTACGATTCGTTTTTTTATTGGTAACATCCCTGGTGGTATTCGGGTCGTTTTAGTAGTCTTGGTGATAAAGATGTTAGGCATGGTGGGCTCTACTGAAGATGACTTCAAGATTGAATATGACGCCAAGATAGGCCCATTTGCAGATGAATACAAGATAGGCCCAATTGAAGATGACTCAAAGATAGGTCCAGTTGAAGATGACTCAAAGATAGGTCCAGTTGAAGATGACTCCAAGATAGGTCCAGTTGAAGATGAGTTCAAGAAAGGACCGATTGAAGATGACTCCAGGATAGTCCAAGTTGAAGATGACTCCAAGATAGGCACGATTGAAGATGGTTCCAAAATAGGCCCGATTGAATATGGCACCAAGGTAAGCCCGATTGAATATGGCACCAAGGTAGGCCCGATTGAAGATGACGCCAAGATAGGCCCAACTGAAGATGATTCCAAGATAGGCCCAATTGAAGATGACTCCAAGAAATGCTCGATTGAAGATGACTCTAAGATAGACCCGAACGAAGATGACCCCAAGATAGGCCTGATTGAAGATGCCCCCAAGATAGGCCCGATTGAAGATGACTTAAAGATATGCCTTGTTGAAGATGACTCAAAGATGGGCCCAATTGAATATGACTCCAAGAAATGCTCGATTGAAGATGACTCTAAGATAGACCCGAACGAAGATGACCCCAAGATAGGCCTGATTGAAGATTCCCCCAAGATAGGTCCGATTGAAGATGACTCCAAGATAGGCCCAATTGAAGATGACTCCAAAATTGTCCCAATTGGAGAGGACACCAAGACAGCCCCAGTTGACGATGACTCCAAGATAGGCGAAATGGAAGATGACTCCAAAATAGGCAAGATTGAATATGGCACGAAGGTAGGCTCAGTTGAAGATGACTCCAACGTGCCATCTAGCGAATTGGTTGAATCTACTGGTGTAGGCCAAATGTATGAGCTTGGTTGGGTTGACATTGTGTTTATAGCACTGGGAATGCTGGGTGTAGATGGCATTATGTGTCTTGGTGTAGTAGTTATGACGTCATTATTGTTGCTCTTACTAAACGCAATTAGGGTTGAATTGGCTGAAAATATAACGTTCTCATTTATTTCATTTCTCGGCTCCATTTACATTTAAAGGAGTAGTATTGATATGGAGAACTGAATTCAACAATGTTTTTCTCTTAAACCAATCATTGAAAACATTCTGTAAAAAACACGGTATTTTATGTAATGTTGACTGATTGACAACAATTTAATGTGAAAATTATTTAGAAATATTTTATATAACTGTTTTTGTTAACATTCTTTGTTTTTTTAGTGCAATTGTTTTTGCTCCTTTCTACCAATTCTTGATAAATAAATAAAATGTCTTTCCGAACCTTGTTGGAACAAAATAGCATATACAACATGTTTACATGAAACAGTTCGTTTTGGTAACAAAATGTCGGAACGTCGAAGGTACGATTTTTCTTTTTTCCTTATTTCACGCGTTGTAGGCAGAATCCCCACGACGTTTTTTCTCACAAACGTGTATCAGTATCATATGTTTTAGAAAATGTACATGTTTGCGAAAAAATTGCTCAAAAGACAACAGAATCGTCGATTTAATTCTTCATTTAAGTTACATAAACGGTTTGGGTTAAAAGTGCAGATCTTAACTGTTTTTCGAAAAACCGTTTATGTAACTTAAGTGAGGAATTAAATCGACAATTCTGTTGTCTTCTGAACTATTTGTTCGCAAATATGTACATTTTCTAAAAACATATGATACTGATACACGTTTGTGTTAAAAATGTCTTGGGAATTCTGCCTACAACGTGTGAAATGAGGAAAAGAGAAAAATCGTACCTTCGATGTTCCGACATTTTGTTGCCAAAACGAACCGTTTTGGTAACCAGCGTAATCGAGTGGATCACCAGTGAATAATCAATTTGAACTTCACACCAGCCATACCTGTTGGTGTGTATAGCAATCTGTAATCGATGCCACTGCAATGCGCCTCGGTGTGGCCACACCATCCACTGTTACTGCAGCATGGGTAGATACCAGAGCCCCAGTCAGGTATAGGCGAATCAATGGGGCATTCAAGGTTGTCGAACAGTGGTCCGCATGAACCATTAGTCGTCAACATTGATGGATGTTGAACTTAAAATTAAAGTGAATTGTAAAAGTAGATCACCAATTTAAAGTGTTCTTTATAACCATGATAATTAACTAAAATGTGTCAAATGTACCCCGAGGTCTCAGCATAAACAGATTGACCATATAGTGACCTGTGTAAAGTAGAAGCCCTTGCACATTCGTATATATAACGGAGGCAGTCAGACCCGTAGCCAGGCGGGGGGGGGGTCAGGGGGTGCGGGCAACCCCCCCCCCCAGCCAAAACATCTTTCAAAATCATGCACTTTTCACCAGTGATTTTTGTCACATGTGAAGTCTCCCTTGAAATTTTAAAAAATTTACCCCCACTCCTTGGCAATCGTTGGCTACGGGCCTGACAGTTCATCTCCAAAGGGATCATAAAATACGTATTGTAATCTTACCACAGAATGGGATGTCACAGTACTGCCAACGTATCTTAGAGTCAATAGTATAGCACCACGGTCCGTCTGATGTCCCATCAGGGTTACGACAATAGTTGTTGGCATCAGCCAGAGTGAGGTCCGGGAAGTTATTAGGGTCAGTGTTACCATGGTAGTGTGGTGTCTGTGCGTCCCAACGTTGACAGATGAAACCATATTTTGTCTGGGCAACCATCCCCGTGTAGTTCCTACCCTGTTTACCGATTTTGCATTCTAGAATTACAGTTGCATTTATAGTTTAAATCCAAGAGTGCATTTAAAGATATGTCATTTTGGACGGTGCTGATGTTTACACGCGGTACTAACTTCGACCGTTAATTTGAATTTTTGATCTACCGAATGTTTGAAAATCAAGGATTACGAGTCTCATACTGCACCGTTTTTCTTCAAACTTGTTCCATTCAAAGCATAACAAAAATCCCTTTCTGTTGGTACATTATTCTCTGAAACAGAGTCCCTACTTCAAACGGCAGTTTGGTCCCCGGCTGAAAGAAGGCCTTCTAACAGTTGGGGACCAAAACGCTGCTAGAACGAGGGACTCTTTACAATAAAGTAATGCACCGACAGAAAGGCAATTTTGTTTTGTTTTTAGAAGAAAAACGATGCAGTATGAGACTCGCAATCCTTGATTTTCAAGCATCTGGTAGGTCAAAAATTCAAATTAACGGTCGAACTTAGTACCGCGCGGTGTAATACACTTCTTCTTATTATACAAATTGTGTTTTTCGACTTATATTGTAAATGATGGTTCAAAATGAATAGCATTTCCATTGTACATTATGTGTATAGATTCCAAAGTGCCTACCATACACGCACCTGTATAATCTGCCCATGTAGGCATATGAACACATGCTGTACTAAAAGGATCAATCTGGTACCCGGCATTACAATCACAATGATACGATCCTATCGTGTTGACGCAAAACGATGAGGTCGTGTTACACATAGGTGTCGCACCAAATGAATTCTTGCATTCGTCAATATCAACACACACCGTGCTTGAATTGTCTTTCTGGTATCCAAGTCTACATATGCAATCAAACGAACCCAAAACATCCACGCACGTTGATACAGTCAAGTTGCAGTTATGAATATCACTTGCACATTCATTTATGTCTTCACAACGATATGGCACGCTGCCATTTGTGCCTGTAGTGAGGTTTGTAAAACCGTCTCTACATGAACATTCGTACGATCCTTGGTTGTTCTCACATTCTGTGATGATGGGTAAGTCGCAGGTGACACCTGTTATGTTGCATTTATTCACATCGTAACATCCATAAATAGCAGGAAAATCGCATTCGTCTATATCTAAAGAAACAGGTGACTGTGTACTACATGTATTTATTCTTCAAGGGTTCTTATTTATGTTGTTCATTTCGATGAACTTGGGTTGTGCTTGGTCAGATATTTTTATTTCTCGATTTTACACCATTTATAAGTCAAGTTGTGGACAATAATTTGGCTCAAAGTTAAAGAAGATGGTTTAGTTTGAGAATATGCAGGCGGTTCTATGTTTGATACATTAACGAAGACGCAATTCACATATTTAGTCCCTCGCTTTTGTTACGTTGACGTAAGATCAATGTTACGTTGACGAACGTGTGACTTGGGGCTGTTGTTAAGTTGACGAACCATATTAACATTGGCGTATATTGGGCAACAATCATGAACACATAGTTCAACTATTTCAGACAGTCATGGAAGTCCTAAAATCACGAGGGTGAGGCACTGAGCGTTCAGAGACAGGTACTCGACGAGAAATGAAAATCCTATACAGTGCGTATCAAAAAAACGCAACAGATTGTAATCTTGGAAAAGCACAAAACCAGTGATAACAGCATTGATTTCATTCAATGCACCATAAAGCCATGTGTCTCCTCTTTACAATGACATATCATTCATTGATATTTGGTCATGGTTGGGCGAGTAATCATTCCATTTGCAAAGTGGGCCAGAATTAGCTTCGGGCCAAGTTATAAATATTGCAAAAGTCAGTGACGGAGCCCGATGCAATATTGGACGAAAACATAAAACCAATGCTGACTGCATCTTTTTAATTCAATGTACCAAAAAGGCAAATTACTCTGCTTTGCAATGGAATATCATTCATTCACAGGGAGTCATCTATGGCCGAATAATCATTAATTAATCGGACCCAAGTTTAAAACATTGCAAAAGTCAGTATAAGGGGCATAGGGGCTATTGGAAGAAGATGTGACAGGTATGGCATAGACAGTAAAGTGTTCATACTCATAATCTTGCAAGAATACATCCTATACCCTTCCAAATTGCCACCACTTCCTTGCACATAAAGATGCGCTCATCTGTCCACGTCATGCATGGTTCAGCCCTGAATCATGTGTGGGTTAAAGCAAAGAAAAGCAGCCCATGGGCAAATCTTTCTCGAGGTTTTGCAATATCTGATGGAGGAATTGTGAGCACAGATGCTCCTGAGATAGCTCCAAAAGAAAAAGTCACAACAATTCAAGTCAGGGGAACTTCCATTGGCACTTAGCCCTTGCACTGATTTTTTCAATATCTAAAACTTGGCGCATAGCCGATTTTGACCCACTGTGCAAATGGAAGGATTTCTCACCCAAGCATTACCACATGTGAATGAATGACATATCATTGCAAAGAGGAGAGACATGGCTTTATGGTACATTAAATGAAATTGATGTAGTCATCACTAGTTTTGTGATTTTACGAGATAACTACTTGTTGCGTTTTTTTGATACGCCCTGTATTTACATGAAATGAGGGGCATCGGATACAAATTGATTCGAACTTAAAGTTGTACTCAAACCATTTTACTCGATTTAGTTATGCCATCTTACCGTATGAAGGCCGCGCTTTATGATAGTGAAAAATCAACAATTCCAAAAGTTCATTTTATCATGATATTGGTGATATAAAGTCAGCACATGTCTGTTTTCGCAGTAAAACTGATTTCATTTTAAGAGCAGAAATTTTACGTCACGTGACAATGACGTGCGAGGTTGAAACATTTTAATCAATTCCTTGTATAGTACTATTAGATTATCGAAGTTGCTAAGAAACAACTAATGTCTATGAAAAGCGCTAGTCCGCCATCTTTGGATTGCGACCCAAAAGTCGTCAACAGACCCCCATCTTCTGATTCCCCGTCGTACTCATCTGTCACCGCAAATAATAACGACAAGTGGATTACTGCTGGTCCTAAAGGACGTCATTCTCCTGTTCCCGAACGCCCTAATTCGTCTCCACGACGAACACTTACAACCAATAAAGGACAAAACCGTATTAAACTGACTGGGGTCAAAGAGGTAAAATTCACGCTTGTTTATGTTAGCAATATTCGAAAAGATTCCAATGTTTCAGACGATGATATCCGTTCTGCGATCGTTGACCATGCCAAGGATAAGGGAATAAGAGTCATGAAGGCCGATATTGTACACAATCGTGTATGCGACGATAAAGTCGGATGCAAACTTAACATCCCCGAATCCCAAGCAGAGATAATTCTTGCAACCAATTTTTGGCCAGACCCGGAAATTGGATGCCGTGTATGGCAGCGCAGATCTACCCAGCGCTCAAACTACAATAGTCAACGGGGTAGTAATTTCAAACATATACCTGTAATCACGGGTCATTATTCCCATTCACATGGGCGATCATATGATACCTATGAGCTCGGCCGCGACTCAAACGGCTACTACAATAACAATAGATATGGTGAAACTATTGACGAGGATGAGCGACATCTTGCAGTTTAGGGGTATACAGTGTATGGATTCCATGAAACCAATACATCTGTGTTTCCTGCTATTTTATTTTCTTGCCCATATAAATATTTTTACTTCCCATATGAATGCAATCAACACTTCCCAAAATGTTCTATCAAATAATGATTTGAGACTCATACAATGGAACTGCAGAGGTTTAAACGTATCGTCTCTATATATTAATTCTCTGCTATCACAATGCGATATAATGGCTCTCTCCGAGCATAAACTTTACAATTGTAATAGATTTAAGTTGGACTCCGTCCATCCTGACTTTAATTGTTGTAGCTCCAGTAGCAAATCTTTAAATGATTTTAATTGCGGGAAAGTATGGGGCAATGGTGGTGTAGCTATATTTTGGCGCAAATCATTGGATAATTATATTATACCTGTTAAGAAAATGTGTACCGATAGAATTGTTTGCTTAAAGGTATCGGTCGTGGTAGACTCGCCCTTGTACATATTTTCAGTATATTTGCCACAACAAAACTGTGTGATAGATAATTTTGACGATGTCTTATTTTCACTTGAACAATTTGTTCAAGAAGCAAATATTGATGGCAATGTAGTTATTCTTGGTGATGTCAATAGCAATCTAGGTCAATTAACTGGAAGTAGGGGACACGGAGATCCATCGAGCAATGGCTACAATCTGTTTGAATTTATGAAGCGGAACATCTTAACTGCAATTGACATGACGGAGATAACTACTGGTCCAACCCACACTTTTGAAATGATGAGGAATGAAGTACTACATGTGAGCTACATTGATCACGTGATTATTTCTTCCCAACTTGCTAATAATATACTTACCTGTAAGGTGTTTGAAGATGAACCTGACAACACATCAGATCATCTACCGATTTTAACGATTTTAAATTTTGATGTTAAGATAAACAGACGGTCGAGCATACAAGCGCCAATAGGATATGCGTGGGATAAGCTCAACAATGACGATATCTTGGAATCATACACTCGTTCAATTAACTTACAATGTAATGATATTGTATCCGAGCTACATTCTATCATGTCTAAAAGGTCTCTGAATGGCAATGAGATTGAGTATTTTATAGATAAATTACTAGATATTTTGACACTCACCTCTAACGCCCATATACCAAAAAAGAGATTTTTAAAATATGAAAAGCCATTCTGGAATCCAACTTTAACTGTTTTAGCAAAAGATAAAAAGACAAAATGGCGTGTATGGGTGTCTCGGGGTAGGTCACGTGATATATCCGATCCAGCGCGTAGTCAATATAAAGATTCAAAAAAGTTATTTTCCAAAACCTATCACGCAGCCCAAATTGAGTACGAGAAACAGGAACTAGAAAAACTCTATACATCGGAACAAACTGACCAACGGTTCTATTGGTACCTCGTTAATAAACATCGAAGAACATCAAAGAGATCTGTAAGTCCTATTTTGTCAGACGATGGCATACTTATAACAGACGCCGACGAGATAAGAAATCAATGGAAATGTCATTTTGAGAAACTTGCCACCCCACTAAATAAGCCAAATTTCGATTCTGAGTTTAAAACCACCATTGAGAACAAAATCAGAACAATTATTAAATGTAACGAGGATGACAAAATTAATGGTATGGCAGTAAGCATTAGCAATGAAGATGTCACCAGTGCAGTTAAAGCACTTCATTGTAAGCGTGCTTGTGGCTATGACCAAATCAGTGCTGAACATTTAAAATATGCCGGAAGCAAAATGTATGAATCCATTGCTCTCTTATTTAATTCAATTATTCAATCAGAGCACATCCCAAATAATTTCTGTGTAGGCGTAATGATCCCTCTCACAAAAAGTGGCAAAGATCCTCTCATAAAAGATAATTCTAGAGGAATAACCCTCATGACAATGTTTCGTAAACTCTTTGACAATATATTATTAACTTACTTGAAAGTTCCGATCTACAAAATGATACCAAAGTTACAAGGGGCATCGGTTGAAAAATGTTCATCTGTTCACACTTCCTTATTGGTGCAGGAGACTATTTCAGATAATGTCGAACAGGGTAAAATGGTAGTCATTACAATAACAGACATTCGTAAAGCCTTCGACTCTGTTTGGATAGATGGTCTATTTTTTAAGCTCCACAAAAGTGGCGTTGTTGGAAAACTTTGGAACATATTGTACAATTTATATAAACACTATAGGTGCGCGGTTCTAGTAGGTGGTGCGCGCTCAAATTCATTTCCTATTCTCCAAGGTGTACATCAAGGTGGCGTGCTGTCAATGCTCTTCTATCAATTATACATGTCTGACATTATTGAAACCATGATTAAACTAAGTATTGGTTCCACCATAGGAGACACCAGCTGTGTCAGTCCATGCTACGCTGATGACATGTGTATCCTATCAAACTCATTTCAAAATATGCAAGTCCTATTGGACGCACTTACTAAACATAGCAATCAATGGAGATATGAAGTACATCCACAAAAGTGCACATATCTTGTTTTTAACAGTAAAATCGAATTGGGAGCCACTCAAAAGCTAAACATTGGAGGTGTACCGATCGAAAAATCTA